GAGGGATGAGCGGGTGCTGTGGGCAGCGAGGGGAGAGCTGGAGGGATGAGCGGGTGCGGTGGGCAGCGAGGGGAGAGCTGGAGGGATGAGCGGGTGCGGTGGGCAGCAAGGGGAGAGCTGGAGTGAAGAGCATCAAGCGTCTCCTGAGAGCCCTTCCAACTGCACTTGGGTTTTGTTGGGTAGTTGGTTGACTTTTAATTGTATGGCTAATCTTTTTTGCTTTATTTTAATTTGTTTGTGACACAGAGTCTCACTCTGGAGCCCAGCATGACATCAAACTTACAGCAATTGTCCTCCTGTGACCTCCTAAGTGCTAGAATTGAAGGTGTGAGCCACCGTTCTGGCTCTGATATCTGCTGAAGAAAGGAATCTTTAAAGTAACAGATTACATCTGGATAAAGAATATCAATAAAACAGGGACCAAAAGACTTCAACAGTGGTCAGAGCTTAGGAGACTTCTGAACTTTCCTGTGTCCAAGACTTCTGAGGGCTAGGTGATGCCACTGACAGGACCGGACCTTTGAAAAGCAATCCAGGAGATCGTGATCACAGCTGGAACTGAAGATCACAAGGGCGGGCAGGGCTCCGGCGCTGTGTGTACCACAGAACCAGAGCTAAATTTTAGCTCTTTCCTCATTCTGATTTGCATTTTCCAGATTTCCTTCAGTAACTATTCTATAATAATGAAAGATTTCTAAAATTCCAAGGCCCGTGGTTGCTGGATCTCATGCATGCAGCACTAGGATTATGCTTAAATCCATGGCTAGAATAGCCAAGAATTAAAACAATACAAAAATTCTTAGAACTTAGGAATGTTGTGCCATCAAATCCTCACCAACCACAATCTTATATTTTCTAATGTGACTGACACACATGCCACTGTAGATAAAAGGGCCCCAAAATAAAAGCTAACTTCCCACTTACAATCTGGTTACAACCTTTTAGAGTCTAACCAATGCCCTACACAGACTTCTGAAGCCCAGTGCCTAAAGACCTTACACATAGCTAATTTCCAGAAAAATACCTTGTCTTGTAAAATTCACTACTTAGGTAAGTAGCCAGTGTCCCACCTGACCTCTCAGATACAGGTTCCCCACACTGAGTCTCACACTGAAAAAAAAAATGGTAACCTGTCCCTTAACTGCTGTAAAAAAAAATCTGATCCCTTCTCTGGGAGCCAACTGCTGTTCTCCTGGAATATAATCCAACAGACATTTTGTCTTTCGTGCCTCTGGTACATTCTTTCACTGCCCGTGTAATTGGCCTGCCATGTCACCCTGGAATCTGGAGGTTCTGCATTAGAAAGATGCATGGAGACAACTGAGCAGAGGAGGAGTTTCCAACAAGAGGAGAGAAACAGCATTTAACAACGTCAATGATGGAACTAGAAAAAACATCCTGAGTGAGGTAACCCAGACCCAGAAAGGTGAGCATGGTGTGTACTCACTCATAAGTGGATACTCACTATAAAGCAAAGGATAATGAGCCTATCTATAGTCCATGACCCTAGAGAAGCTAAGTAACAAGGAGAACCCTAAGAGAAACATACATAGATCCATCTGGGAAGGAGAAATAGACAAGATCTCCTGAGAAAATTGTGAGCATGGGGGTGGGGGAAGAAGGGCAGAGAGAAGGGGAGGAGGAAGGAAGAAGAGAAGGGGAGAGGAGAACTTGAGGGAACAGGATGGTCAAGATGGGGGAAAAACAGAGATGGAGAGCAAGGACAGAGAATACCTTGATTGAGGGAGCCATTATGGGACTAGCAAGAAACCTGGCACTAGAGAAATTCCCAGGAATCCACAAGGATGACCCCAGCTAAGACCCTAAGCAATAGAGGAGAGGGTGACCAAACTGGCCTTGCCCTGTAGTCAGATTGATAACTATCTTAAATGTCACCAAAGAACCTTCATCCAGCAACTGATGGAAGCAGATGCTGAGATCCACAGCAGAGGACTGAGCTGAGCTCCCAAAGTCCAGTTAAAGAGTGGGAGGAATGAGAATATGAGCAAAGAGGTCAAGACCATGATGGGGACACCCACTGTAACGGCTTACCTGACCTAATGGGAGCTCACCAACTTCAGCCTGATAGGGAAGGAACCAGTAAAGGACCAGTTTAGGCCCTCAAAATGTGGGTGACAGTTGTATGACTGGGGCAGACTGCAGGGTCACTGGCAGTGGAACCAGGATTTATCCCTACTGCTGGTACTGGCATTTTGGAACTCATTCTCTCTGGAGGAATACCTTGCTTAGCCTAGAGATAGTGGGGAGGGAATGTGCTAGACTTTGTTGACTCCCCATGGGAAGCCTTACCCTCTCTGAGAAGTGGATTTGGGGTGGGAAGGTGGAGGGAGCAGGACGAGGGGAGGGAGTGGGAACTGGGATTGGTATGTAAAATAAGAAAATAGTTTTTTTAAAAATAAAAAGTTTTTAAAAAAAGCCAATGTCAATGAAAACACCTAAGAAACCCAGAAAACAGTGGGAAGATGACATCCCAGAGTCTGAAGCACACAGTCTGAGAGTTTGACCTGTGAGCATGTCTTGGGGGGCTGTCTTGATTATTAATTGATGTAGGAGGGCCCAGCCTGCTATGGGTGGCACCATTCCCTGGGCTGGTGGTCTGGACTATATAAGGAAGTTAACTAAGCATGGGCCGGCAAGCAGCACTCCTCCATGGCTTCTGCTTCAGGCTCTTGAATTCCTGTCTTCTCTCCATGACAGACTGTAAGATGAGAGAAACCCACCCTTCTCCTAACTGGCTTTTATTTGGAGGGTTTATCACAACCCAGAAGAAACTAAAATATGCCCGTACGTGTGTCTCCACTGCTCATGATAGATGTGGTTCTATGCAGACTGATTACATTTCATCTCTGGAGTGACATTCATTCTCGGGTGTACGGCACACTGGTGACTTCCACTTGGAATCTGAGAGGAATGTCAGCATGTCTTCATCTTGTGAGGCTCTGTGGTGCAGATATACATCCCTCCCAGCAGACCACGCAGGCAACGCCTGGAAAGAGTTCCAAGCATTGCCCACACCAACTCCGAACTTCAGACTGTGCACCTACACGATCAGGCCCCAGTCTTTTGGCCTCTTCTGTTACTGTCCTTCCTCTGGTCCTCCCTCTCCAGCAAATGTCCACCACTAAGCCATCACTGCAGGTCTCAGCTGTTTGACTCCGTTTCTCTTTGGAAAACCAGGCTTTAACACCGGTACTTCCTACATGCGTCCAGCAGCCAGACAAGTCCCTGAAACCCCTAACTCTCTTGGGCCCATGCCAGGCCTGCGACTGTTGTTCACACCCTCTGTCCTTCCTGACCCGGGCCTCACTCATTCTGCAGTCACTGGAGTCGCCGCTCATGGTCTATCTTTGCTGACTATGAGTGTCTAGGACTTAAGGTACCCAGGTGGTGCCCAACTGGGCCACAAAAGGGCCTTTCACACAGAAAAGCCCTGCGTCACACAGACGGGAGCCTTCCTGCTGCTATGCTCCAACATTGTTGAGATGAAGGACATCTTAGGAGAATATCTAAATTGATCCTCCTACATCATTTGGGTGTTTTTCAGTTTCTCAGCGTCAAGTGTCCTTTGGGCCAGAATCAAGGGCATCTTTCTTAAGCTAAACTATAACTCACAGGCCAACAAGATGGCAGAGGGAGTAGAGGTTCTTGCTAAGCCTGACAACTTGAGTTCAATCCCCAGTTATCTCCATGATGAAAGGAGAGGACCTCCAAATCTGTCTTCTGACCTCCACATGCATGCCATGCCATGTGTTCACACACTCACAATATACAGACACATGCAAAATGTTTTTAAAATTGAGTAATACCGACACAGGAGATTCTAGGAGACTCTGTGTACTTGGTTTCTATATGCCCCTCTCTCTATGGCCTTTGTGCTGCCCCAACCACATTCTCTGCTTTCTAAGACTCATAAATGGTAACTTGGTGTTACTAATTTTAAAATGGCCCTAATTAACTCCTATTACTGATGGCATTATTAGTTGTTATGGCTTTTCTTGACACACGAACATCCAGATGCACTTGTCTGGGATTTCCTGAACCTCTGTTTCTATTCACCATAAAAAGCATGTGCAACTTTAAAAGGTTAAAACGAGGTCTCTCTCAGAATCAGAGAGGAAATGGGGACGTGGGCTGTGGCTGGAGACTAGCTCTGGTGTCTGCACTTGGTCCACTAAACAGCTTACAGAAGACATGGCTGAGGGAGAGAACACGTGCTGGTAGGCTGGGGAGCTGAGGTCAGATTGGGGATGGTTTGGTAGTACCTTAGCACAGTCCTGCAGGGATCTGGTACATGGCACAGCTTCACCAGAGACCTACACAGGAATCATGTATCTTTTACTGGCTTCTCATTCGGGGTGAAGCCAATAAGGCACGACACACATGCAATCACACTGACAGATTCTGACCATGTAGCAACTGCCCATCTTTCTCAAATTTGGCTTCCTCCATCGGCTCAGAATTCTGTGGCACATCAAAGAGGAGAGGATCTTATGGCAAACACCATCTACCATACGAACTCTAGGAGGGAGGTCACCACAGGGCCATCCTGGAGAAGAGCATGCTGAATGGGAGATTCAAGCTCCACCGACAGGGAAGGAGGCCCGAGCTTGGACATACTGGTGCGGCTCTACTGTGCTGAGCTAAGAGACTCCAAGTACAGCTGTCACCCCAGCAGCAGCATCTCCCCAGCAGCTCAAGGACGTTTCTCTCTTGCCAGCTCTTGAAAAGGGAACACTGCCTGCTTGCTCAGCCTTCCCTTGAACCCTCCCCATTGTGCTGACAAGCTCTGCTGTGCTCTGCTGCCTGGAGAGCTGCTTCCATCGTTCCACAGGGTCAGGGAGGTCTAGACAGTCCAAGAGGGCAAGAAACATTAAGAACAGCACATTGGAAGGTAGGAAAAATTATGTAAAAAAAATGGTATTGAAGTATGGCAAAAAAAAAATACAGGGTAAAGAAACAGGCAATGTCTCTTCGGCTCTGCAAAACAGGCAACAACAGCCTCAGTTCTCAGCCTCCAGGGCTCCTAGGTGTGAACTCCACCCCAGAATCCATCTACTGGGGGGGAGGGGTAAAGAAATGTCCAATGCAATCTTCCTGCACTTAGACCTCTGCAGGACTTTACAGCAGGGTGTCAGGACAAGCATTCAGCTGAGTGTGAGCTCTCAGAGCATGCCTAGTACTGCAACACATGCACTGTGCCGCCCTCTGCTCCTTCTGCTTGCCTTTTGCATCTGCAGGAATCCTAGTGTGTGTCGATGCACATGAAATTTGCAAGTTGTGAAAACGAAGCATTGGTTTTCCTCCCCTTTTCTGAGTATCAGAGACCCAGTGGATTAAGGACCAGGATGGTGAAGGAGTGAGAGCATGCTCGCCTCCATGGTGTGGCAAAGGATGCAAGCAGGAGCTCATCTCTACGCAGTGGATCCATCAAATAAGCAAAGACACCGGAGGGAACAGAAGCCAGGCTTACTAATAAAGAAGCAGGTGCTGGCAGGGCAAGGGAACGGCTGTAGCAATCCTTGTGGTAGTAGAACAGAACTGGAATTGGCATGCACTTGTGGTTTGCTGCCGATGCAGGTCGATTCAGACATAAACGTGTAAAGAACAGTGCTGGTCTCCCCGGAAAGAGGCAGGATCTGGGAACACTGGAGAAGCAGGCACCAGCTGGGGACTCCCGCTGGAACAATCATGGAAATAAAGGCTCTTAACTCATAGAGTGAAATAGGGCACCCGAGTCCACTGAGTAGGAAATGAATACAGGGCACGAGGGAAGGGTATTTACATAACTTCAGAGCAAATGCAGAGGCTGAAAGAAATCTTCTCAAATGAATACTCATTCATGTACTCCAAGGGGAAATTTCTTCCCATCTTCTGGACTTCATCCCAAGTCTCACGTGGTTAGCGTGTTAACAGGGTGTTAATGCTAGAGTGGGAATTTTCCCGTTTACTGGAGCAAGTGTGTCCCGGGCCATCCGTGGAGAGAAGGTGTGCTCAGGTAAACCCGGGTGAGCACCAGTTGGCCCAGTGGAGAGCAGTGAACTGCAGGCCGAAGACCCATCCTCTAGTGGACAGAGTCTAGAGACATGCGCAGATGACACAGTCAGCTTGTGCAATGTCCCAGGAAGAGACGGAGGCTCTAAATTGGGTCAGTAAATGGGAAGGAAGTGCAATGTGATGCTTCTCAAGGTTGGGGTAAACTGTTCTCATTCAGAAAGAGTGGTGTGATGTCAGCTGAGGGGTGTGGAAAGTCATCAAATGCTAGCTCCGAGAGGGGCGGAAGGGCTAGTGGTGACCACTCCTCCATACCACGCAGCTACCCGGACAGTAGGCACTGCTCTAGGGCTAGGCAAGGCATCCTGGGACGGATCCACACACACCAAGGCAAGAGGTGACGGTAGCATACCTGTGGGGAGAAGCAGTCTTGGAGGCCGTCTCCTTGTTTCTGTTCCCTTTAGTGTCTTTCCACTTTCTTACCTTTAACTTTGGCCATCCTTCCAGGTCCAGCTTCAAGGGTTTTTCTTTCCCCACTGTTCCAGGCAAAAGAGCCATCCTTTACTGAGCAAACTGCCCCGCTAAAAGGCTGCCTCCCTTCCACATCCCATAGGACGGACTGGTCCCAAGCTCAGACACTAAATGTGCAACTCACCGCTAACGTGGGTTCCGACCCCCTGAGGGCCTGTCTGAAACACTTCTTGGTGTGGAAAGTTTGTCTGTGTATGTGTTGCTTTTATTAGTTAATGAATAAAGCTGTTTCAGCCAGTGGTTTGCCACTATAGAGCTAGGCGGGAAAACTAAACTGAATGCTGGGAGAAAGAAGGCAGAGGCAGAAGAAGTCATGTAGCTGCTGCCAGTAAGCCACAGCCACGTGGCAATACACAAATTAGTAGAAATGGGCTAATTTAAGACATAAGAGTTAGTCAGAAAGACACTTAAGCTATTGGCCAAACAGTACTGTAATTAATACAGATTTCTGTGTGGTTATTTCAGGAGTCTGTGCAGCCAGGAAACAAGTGGCCTCCCCCAACAACTCCAGTCAATTTTATAGGGAGAGCAAGGTGGCCACAGTTGCTTTAGTGAGATAAACCTAAAAAAAAGCTCATGTTTGCTGACTTTGAAAACCTGTATTTGGAACTGGTCTCCCCGTGTCTCCCCTGGCTCATCAAAGCCCACACACTTACCTGACTTGGCCAAGGCTACTGAAAACTTATTTTCTACCTGCTGCCACACGGTAGGCCAGAACACAAACAGGAAGAGAAAATCAGAGCACTGCTCAAGGGATACGTGATGGGACTGCCGTGTGGTTAGGAGGATCTCACCTGCTCAGTCTCAGGAGGACCACAGGGCTCTGGCACACTCATCCTCACATGACCCTTCGTGCCAACCTGTTTTAATTCAGGCTGCTCTTAAGAAACGATCAGACCAGAATAACAAATGTGACCCATTTGAAAGAATGATGGTTTGTTTCAGAACAAAGGAAGACTAATAAGGTAAAGTCTGAGGACTACTGCAAGCCCTGCCTCCCTTGTTTCCCCAAGAACATGAAAATAAACAGGTGTGAAGAGAAGAGACAAAACAGCCTCCTACTGAAATCATCTTCTAAACAAGCCCAGGGTATGCAATCCCCCACGAAAGGACACTGAAGGAGCCAGAGAGCCCAGAGAGAGGCAAGCCCTTACTCACCCACGTTTCCAACTGGGTCAACCCCACCGCTCAACACCAGCCACATGTTCCAGAGAGTAGCCTACCCTCTGAACCACAAGTGAAGATACGCACTCAGGAGGAGCAAAGGAACAAACAGAAGAGGGGCTGTGGTAATGGGGGGGGGCCCAGCCCCCAAGGCCATAGACCTATCCCAGCAAATAAGCAAGGCCAGTTCCTTCCTCTAACACAGAAAGGCTAAAGGAGTGTTTCTGATCAAATCCTTGCTAACGTCCAGACACAGAGCAACTGTCTAAACACACACCCTTGCTGGGGAGAGCTGGGTCCTTCAATTCCACCACAATGGCAGCTGTTTTACAGATCCACGCTCCAGATAAATCCTGTTAAACTCACAGCATTTCAGGTGTGTCTCACAGATAAAGTCAGGTTTGGCTTCTGACCAGTCTGAAAGCATTTTTCTAATTGGAAACAGATCCACGCACATCAATCAACACGGCAGCTTCTTGAGCACGGTCGTTCTGAGGATAAGCAATGTAAAATGTTTTCACATCGTCCGTGCACACACTGCCTAACTGTTAAAGAAGCAGGATGTGTGGGGCCAGCGCCGTGGCTCCGTGGGAAGCACTTGCTGCACAAGTCCGATTGGTAAAGACAGCAACAGCCGGTGTGAGAAAGGACGTACCGTCGTTACAGAGAGTGGAATCTTGTTAAAGCAGTGCTGCCTCGAACACAGCTCAAGATGTGCGGCATACTAGAAACTGTGGAAAACTGCATCTCCAACATAACTCAAGTTTAGGTTTCTGCTAAGATGTGTTCAGACTCCCGCCCCCATTGGTTCCTATTCCCATAACCAAAAGGACAACCCTGGCACATAGTAGGTCATCAGGCCCTATCCACTACCAAAAGAACATACTTCTACTATTTAGTTCAAAGGAGGTGCATTGGAAAACAGCTGCCCATAAAGTCCTGGCCCTCTTACCAAGAACATAATTCTACCAGACAGGCAGATGACCCTGGGCAACAACTAACTGAAAAGAACATTAATCTACTTCAAACTACTGTGACAGGATCCTTGCTGTGTAAATCTACCACCCCACCAAAATGGCAAAACTTGCAGTGTCTGTGCCTATAAAACATGTCTAAATGCCCCACGTTAACTCAGGGCAAGGACCTAAAGAGATTTACAGATGGCAATGTATGTGCCACGTTTTAGCCCAACATCTATAAAAACTGTCAAGTATTTCTGCCCATGGTCAGTCTCTGCGCACTCGCCAGGCTGCCAGGCCAGACGCACACTGTGCCAAAGAGCTTTCCTTTGTCTGTATTCCCTGAGAGGGCAGCGTGAACTCTCTGGGAGAGCTAGTTCACTGCAGCAGGACAACCTGGGTTGGATCCCCAGAACCTATGCTGGAGAAAATGATCCCCAAGAGTGTCCTCTGACCTCCGTAGGTTCCGTGGTATGGGCACACACCCCATATATGTCATACATCACACACATTCACAATAATAATAAAATTTTTAAATTTTAAAAAAAGAAATGGGATAATTTAAACTTAACCAAAATAAAAAATTGCTGTGTCGAAACTTCCAAGTTCTTACTGCCCGTGTGAATCCAACTGCTTTTGGACAGGAAATAAGGCCTGACCTGACCCCAGCTGCTTTGCTGGCAGCTAGTAGGAAGAACACAGGAGCACCTACTAATTAGACTGGACAAAGATCAACTCATTAACACACAAGGAAAAAAGCCAAACACATTTTAAGAAACTTATAGTGGATTTCTAGAAAGCAATTAATTTGTGACTTTTTCTTACTTTATGGAACATAAAATATTTCCAAAATGTGAACATCAAAGTTGGGTCTTTGCAGGCGGAGGATAGAAGATTGGACCATCTTCACAGACCATCATCCCGTGTGTGGAAGACCCCGTGGCCAGCCAGGCGTCCTGCCTGAAGGACAGCCGCTCATCTGGCTCAGTGCAGTTTCGCAGATGGAGGTCCTCCTTGGTGAAGCATAATTCTATTTGACCAACAGTTTGTACACTCTCTCCCTAAAAATACAAAATGGTAGATGCGTCAGAATCCAGGACCCACGGGTTATTATCGATCTGGGGATCACAGTTTCAGCATTCCAGATCAGAGACTCCAGCCTCTGAGCAAGGCCTCTCGGAGCCGAGGAGGGTTCAGGGGGAACCTGGGTGGAGGCTTGTTCTTCACAGTCACTGAAGGCTCACCTCTGCTCGCCTGGAAGTCTGGGGTGAGGAGGTGTTTTCAGCTTGGAAGACAAAACACAAACAAGCACAAGCTGACCCAAATGTGCCCGTAGCACACATGGGGACCCTGGCAGAGTAAATGTCAAGATATTCATTCCTGGCAGCCAAGAGAATCTCAGTTTTGTCTGGAAATTAGACAGTAGGCTGCAATTAAAGTGACTGAGAGCGGTAATGTAAGAGCTTAGACTGCCAGGTGTGGCGGCACAGAGAGGCAGGCGGATCCCTGCAAGGTGGAGGACGGCCAGGTCTACATGGCCATATAACAGAGAAACCCTGTCTCGAAAACAAAACCAAACAAATAAATGAGCAGACAAAACAAAAAGCGACAAAAAAGTCTTAGAAACTTATAAATGCTTAACTTAGAAATCTATCTCCTTGCCCCCTTCCTCTTTTCTCTCTCTTCCTCTTCCTCCCCCCTCCCTTTCCCTTCCTCTTACAAGGTTTTCTCACTAGAATGAAGTGGCATAGCCTATAGTGTTATACAAATCTAGTCTTTGACCAAGCCCCTGCCATCTTGGTGAGTTCAGCTGTGCCTCTTGCAAAAGATCAGGCCATCTGGGCTCCTTAATGTTTACATTCTTCTTTGAGGGGCGGGAGAATCATGTGACCCTCACCTGCACAGCCAGCTGCTTCCTATTTCCTGCTTCAGGCACCGGCAACGCTACACTAACTGCACATGGTGTCCGGAAGGGGCTTGACTGTATAGACCAGAGACGACTAGAAGGGGCTCCATCTATGTGGCTGAGGAAAAGCCCTCATCCGTGTTGGGTAGAGACATTCTGGGGTGGCCTTTTAGGAGAGCAGCACCCACGACCCTGCAGGTAACCCCTCACCCAGGCTCTCTAACTAAGCTCAATAAACTCAGGGGTTTGCCTGAGGGAGCTTTGGTGGAATCATGCCTCGGGATGCTGCTGAGACCTTAAGAGGGGAAGCAGATGTTTATGTCTCCCCAAGGAAGGAATCTGAGAAACACATGAGTTGCTTCAAAACATCTCTGTGCTTTTTCATACACTTGCCTGTACACATATATACATGGAAAACATGCAAAATGTAACTGTCCCAGAAACTCCAGTGGAGACAAAGCTATCAGGAGAGTAAAACCATCTTTTCCATAGAGACAACAGGATGTAGAACACAAGTCTGACCTGCTCTGGCACAAGGCACTGGATTTTAGGCACCACGCCATAGATCCTGGTAAGCGCATCTCTGAAATCTGCAAGCTGATAGTAAATGAGAGCATTAGCAGTGAGCTCCAACGCAGAAGCCCCATCCTCACTGAGTCTCTTTAAAGAGTAGCCCCCCTCACACAGAGGACCTGGAGGACAGCCTGAGGACGTCCTGGCTCCATCACTGAAGGACAGATCACTATCAACTTAGCAACCTGGGCTCTACCCAGGAGGCCTGAACATCCCCAACAGTTTGTTCTCTGTTTCACCTTCCTCTCCACCGGGAGCTTGATTCTTCCCCATCTCCAGTCCAATGTCTCCCTTCCATGCTATCTTGCCTAAAGCCACCCTCGCCAACTGACTGTTGGGATCCCAGGCCTATTCACTCCTCAAATCCAGCAGCTTCCAAATGACTCAACCTTGGCGTTCCCTGGGGATCCTCTGTCCTCTCTCCCTATGACCTTGGCAACTAGAATGCTGTTGAACACATAGGTTCATTAGGAACTTCCCAGGGCTGCCTATGTCTCAGAGCATGGCATGGCCCTTACCACCCCAGCTACCTATTTCTGGGAAATGCCTGGTCACCACCTCCTCCACGTAGCCCCCATGTGCCACAGAGCACACGAGCAGACAGAGGATTGAATGCTGATGCAAAGCTGAATGCCTGCTGATATGTCAGACACTTTTGGATCAGTTTCCCAAGTCACTGTCTGGTACTCCTGCCACCTTACCAAGTGTTGAGGCAGCTCAGCACCAGGTAGACCCTGCATTTCCCATCACCATGGATACCATCTATGAACATCAAGTCAGGTGAAACTGTAAACACAGCCCCCCTACACACATGTCAGCTTGAGCAGAGTCCAGGTGAGCTTAGGGAAGCCCTATAAACACACATCCTGGTGTTTCCCAGAAGGGTCTAACTTAATTGGCAGCTAAAGCTCCTTTCAAGGCCAGGCTCCAATTCCCCACTGTCCACAGAGGGAGAGATACACATAGACTGGGAAAAGGAGCACACAGTCCTACAGACAAAGCTGTCAGGCTACTTCACACACTACCAACAGGGCAGCGTGATGGCAGAGCCCATGCCTGTACTGCAGTGACCTCTCTGGAGCTGTTTTAAAGCCACACCCTACAATAAGCACAAAAAACACCCCAGAGAACCATCTAAAGCCAGTCTGTGAACTCTCCTGGTAGCCCAGGTATATTTTAAGCTTTTGAGTGACAGCTCTCTTTGGCAAACAAAAACAGACAAGCCATAATTGAAAGATCTGCACCGTACACGTCCTTCATAGCCAATAAGACATGACATTACTTCCTGTGCCATGTAGCTTACACGAAAAACCGAAAGCCAGTTTCTTTCCCCTCAAACACCATGACTTTTTCAAACGCATGTTCCACCCTGTGCTGAGGCCAAGGGCTACTGCTTGGCAGAACCATGGATCTGCGCCTCCAAGTCAGGGGCCTCGGCAGCCTATGTTCATAGGCAAACACAAACAACTCAAGGAAAACCTATTTCAAGTTGTCTGTGCTGGGTCACTTTAAAACCCAACTGAAGCTCACAAGATGAATGGATCCTGCCAAATGTGCCCAGTGACAAACATGAGATACCAGCTAGAGGCTGCAGGTAAGACTTACCTGGTAGTAATTGATAGATGGCTTGATCCCAAATTTTAGCAGTACACTAAAAGAAAATGTAAAAATTAGCGGCATGAAGACAGCACAGTGCACTTTGTTCTTCCTTGGATTTCTCATTGAAAATTAAGATGCTGTTAAAGGAGAGTATGTTTCCTGACTTAAAGCAATAAATCCATTAACAGGAACAGCCGAGAGCAGCCCCTCCTTTTCTGACCCTGAGCACAGGCTACCCTCACAGGCAACTTTCCAGAACCTGAAGCTGCAGCACAGTACCCTCCACACCACCCCGTACACAGCAACAAACCCTGAGCAAGCTACGACCACACAGGCTCTGCAGGACAGCTTTTCCTGTCTCATGGGACTCCAGGCGTATCCTGAAGAACTGTGCTGGTCAGATCGTCAAAGAATTTAAGTGCATACAGCCTAGAATCCTATCAGAGTTGGTCACAACAAACTGAATACTGGAGGCACAATGTCAACGTCCCTAGACCACTCACTGCAGAGGAAGTCTCTGTGGTCCCACCACAATATCCTGGATGGCTCAGGACTGTGACAAGGGGTAGGTTGGAGGCTACCACTCTTTCTCTCTACTTGCCACCAGTCTGAGGCAGCAAGGGGCAAGCAGGAAAGGTCCCTGAAACCCCAGAAATGCCCCCCAAATCCACATAAGTGTGCCACTGCCTGCCCTGGCTATCAGTATATGATTAACACAGTTCCAACAAAGTATAAAATATTCCAACTTCAAAACAATATTTATTATAAGTCACAACTTTAGTGCTTTAATAAACTCAGCTTAACCTGTTATTACCTTTTTTGACCAGACTTTCTACGGCCGTGTTTTAATAACATTACTGGTAAATGTCGCTTCGCACCTGTGGCCACACACTGCTCCACCTGATGCAGGTGGCCCAGGAAACACAGCAAAGAGAAAGACGGGCCAAGTTGTCTCTTGTCCTCTTCTGAGTGACAGCTGGGTGCCAGCCCATGTCTGCACTGGCGGGAGCTCAGAGCTTCTCAGACTGCCGCCTTTACACCCTGGGTGAGCATGATTTACAGCTCACGATGAATGTTTACGTCTTATGAAACAGAGAGGGATTCCCCACTGTTGGAGGGACTGGGAGAGTAATCATTCTTCTACAATTGTTTGTTGTCATTTTAAGCAAGCACTGCCTCCTGGGAGTGCCTTCCAGCTAGCAGGCCTCTGGACTCACGTGCTGACAGCCACTGGCTGTGGCCAGACAGCGGTGTTTCAAGGGTGAAGGCTCTTACGTGTCTCTAACAGGAGACACTACTATGCGGCAAAGGCCGTGAACAGGGAGCTACTTATGCTTAGGCCTTTGCCCCTCATACAATAGCTACTCTCCCTTCCTGTTTGGTTAGATGGGTTAGCCTCGACTCATACCACAGTGTAGCTACCAGGCTGGGCCCGCACTCACCAGCAGAAGCTCCCTGTGGGTCTGTCTGTCTGTCAGGCTTGCTGGAAGGGCAGTCTCTTTTTAACTGCCGCCTTCCTGTGCTCCAGAAGCATCAGATGGACCTTTTTGCAGGAGTTCCTCACATGGCTTCTAAGTACCTAGTAGGTTTCTGAAAAACCTACACTTTGGGGGTCAGGGTTTCCAAAGGTTTGTCCTCATTGCAAGAGATACTGTGTCCTCAGAAAACCCCACAGGGTTAAACAAACTACACACAAAACTCACGATGCTGAGTGTCTGTTACAACATCTGGCATGTAACTCCTAGTGTATGTACTTAATGCAGATATTTGGATGTTTTATTTTGTTCTGCTTTGAGACAGAATCTCACTGTGTAGCCCTATTTGGCCTGGAACTTGCTATGCAGAGCAATCTGGCCTCAACCTTACAGAGATCCACCTGCCTCTGCCTCCAAACTACTGGGATTAAAGGCATAGGCCACTGTACCCAGCCTAGTAATGCAATTTTTTAAAAAACAAAAAAAAAAAACCTTCAAAATCTAAGCACTGCCCAGTCATTGTTTTTATAACACGGGGACAAGCTCTAAAGAGGTCATATAACCAAACTGTACAACTTACGTCAGAAAGGACCCTGTGCTCTGCCTGCTGGTGGCGGTCAGGCCTTCGCGGGTATTCTTTGGTTATCCCATCTCTCCAAAGGCACCTGCCCCTCCTCTTCTACTGCCAGATTAACTGATTCAAACCCCAGCTGTTTTTGAGCGAAATGACACAGGAAACTCTTTGTTTGAAATGGTGACACATCACCACGACTGCGCCTGTGTTAAGGAGACAAAGCCTGTGTACACAGAGCCAGCGCCTCTGTGCTAAGGAG